GATATGCAGTGATACCTATTTCTGTACAAAAAAAATAGCCTAAATGATGCATAACAAAAAAGTACACACAGAGATGGAAATGGATATGCAGTGAGACCTGTACAAAAAAAATAGCCATAACAAAAAAGGACAGAGAGAGATGAAATCGACAGTGCTACGTGGAAGTCATCAATTTGTCAAGGAACTTCTTTTCCCTCGTTGCATTCATTGATTTTCCAACCTGAGGCAATTCATTACAATGGATTTCCAAAACTCACCCAGACGTTAATCAAGATTTCTCATATCAACGAACTAATTGATATATTACATAAATTTACCTTAGGATTACAAAAGCTAATCAAGTAATGTTACCTTAGGATTACTAATTTAGAGTAATGGCAAAATTATTTTACCTTTTTATCATTGTCGTGTCTGTCACCAATTTGCATACTCTCAATCTTAACTTTGACGATAGAGATATTCTTCACCTCCACGCAGATTGACTCAATATTACTCGTCAGTTTTCCGTCAACATTACCATTCAAACCATGGAGGCCCTAAATTAAGTTGGAGCAAGTTCTCGATACTTATTAGTTCACTTAGGTTGTGGAGGTACTACGGACCTCTCTGACTTTTCTTCCAATCTCGAAGCAGTGTGGTATAATCTCTTTTTACTCCATTCGGCAGGTTTTCCTTAATGGCTACCTGAGAACTGAACTCTTGGAGAAGTCTAGGGAAAAGAGAAGTCTTGTAGTTCAATAAAAGTAAAAGAAGTTTTGACAATTGACGTGTCAAACAAAAATTTTAAAAAAATTTATTTTTTAATAACATATTTCATTAAACTAATCAAAGTCTAACGTGTATTGCACGTTATTCTGAAATATTTTATAAATGTTATAATAGTAATATTTGATATCAATTTGTTGAAAGGATTCGATGAGCCTTAAACGAACTAAAGAAAATAAAATTTATAATAGAAATTTAAAAGAAAAAATTGAACTCTCAAAACTCAACTTCTGTTATACAAATTTTTTGTGATGATGAAATA